AAATTAAGGACATCTCGCGAGGACATAAATTTACAATGGAAGACATAATTAGATAACGTGGGATTAAAAATCAACCCGATTAACCTAACCTGTCTATTTTTGTACAACCACAATTATATTTACTTAATATTAATTAACTATTGAGAATTTAAATTTTTGAGAGAATGAATTGTTATAAACAATTGCAATTGGAAATGGTATAATTAGGCTTTGAAAAAGCGTCTGACAATGCAAGTTTTCGAAAATTGTCAAGTAGCAGAAGGTTGTCATTTTCACTTTAGCCAAGCCTGGTTTTGTCGCATTAAAAATTATTAAGAATTAAATAATAGCATTATGCTGGAAAAACAGTTGTGTTTTAATGGCTACAATGTTTTTTCGATCTAAGTTATTTACCTTCTAATAAGGGGATTGATGAATCTCTCATGGTCATGGTACAATATAATATTGAATATTTTAAGGATTATATTGTAGACAAAATTATTGATGAAAATGTTTATTCCCACCTTATTTTTGGGCAGGTGTGCCGATCCATGGATCCTAGGACGACAAATGGACCTGCAGTTTTTCATAGATATGTTAATAGAAATTTTATACTTTGCAATCCTAATTGTTTTACAATACTAAATATTTTTAATAGAAGTTCAAAAAGAATCGTACTTAAAAATATGTAGAATTAAACGGAATGTGCAAAATAAAAGAAGACATGGATAATATTACATGAACATGGTACCTATATACTGGTTTTATTGGTATAATAATATAAAAACCATAATATTTATTGTACTCCAATGATGTATGTACTCCATAATCTATAAGTTTATATTTTTGTAATTTTAAATAATATATTCTTACATATTATACTTTATACTAGATTAATGATACATTTTGCGCGCCTAAATATTGATTAAAACTAAACATAAGGTAACAATAGATAAATTATGTTAATGTTATTATATTTTATAAGAGTTTAACAGCACCATAAGTATCTTAACTAGGTTGAGCAAGTTACACTTTCAAGGTAGTTAGTTATCTCATATTCTTATGTTATTCATTATAATCTATATAATATATAAATATGGAGACAAAAATGTATAACAATTCATCAATTGAGAACGGCAGGCCCGATTTGGCTCACTCTTTTTTTGTTTGGGTCGTCATTGCCAGGAGAAGGTTCTGAGTCTGAAATCAGCGTTAAATTATCAATCAGAGATTGATTATTTAAAATTTACAGCGCTTCAAATAGGACCAATGACTATATTATGTCCTAAGTGCCATGCAAAAAAATGGAAAGATGAAACTCATGGACTTAGCTGCTCTGACGGTAGAGTTGTTTTACACCAATTTAAGGATCTTCCAGGCCTAATTAAAAGTTTAATTGATAATTCTCACCCTTTATCAAAACATTTCTTTGATAACTCTAGACGGTATAATACACTGTTTCAAATGACATCGTTTAGAGCAAACGAAATAGCTGAAGGGAACTTCATAACCACTTTTAAAATTCCGGGTCAAGTGCATCATTTAATAGGTAGTTTATTACCCGAAATTGGAAATAATGCTAAATTTTTATAAATATATTTTATGTCAGAGTCGGATCAAATACCTATCTACTCGAACAAATATGATTCYAAATTTAAAAAGMGGTCTCATTGAATCATTGCAAACAGTTTTTCGTGAATACAATCACCTCGCACAGAGACAGAGCTTCAGATCTAATCTAGAGTCGAAGTTCTTTGATGAGTTGCAAAACTTTAAGTTGTTTATTCATGCTGATTGTTATRRACGCATTAGCTAATAGTATATAGTATTAGCCTTCTGTATTAGAATATAAGAGTATATTATTGTAGTCTACGGGCAACACCTAATGTGTAGGCGATTCCCGGAATATTGTAACTACACACCGGCACCCGCTTGGGAACCGCAGAGTCAGTCGTTCTAGGTTGGGCAAGTTACACTTTCAAGGTAGTTAGTTATCTCATATGCTTATGACGCTTATGTTATTCAATTATAATCATTAATAATTTAGTACACAAATTATTTTAAATACCTAAAAATACGCAGACACAATATAGGCTATATATAGATAGTAATTGTATTTATTAAGATAATGGTTTCTCAACAGTGGCTTACTATTGCATAATTATCATTAGTCATTATTATAATATATAGTAATGATGAAATAATATTAATATTAATAATGAAGTAAAATATCGTATATTAATATATCATGCATTCATATATAAACTCAAGCAATTGGAGCTTTTTAAATACAATGTTCAGAATTTTCTAGTTTCTAAAGGTTGATTAAAAATGCCAGATTAACAACTAGTTAGAAGTATCTGATATTCCTTCCTGTAAAGTGTAAGGTARGAACTAGAATAGTTGAATAGCTGATTTTTGTGAGTAACCATCATAAATTCATGATTTTATTGATTGCGGACCTAAAGCATTTCTATCTTAAATTAGAAAACCTTATATTCCAATAAGAGGGCGTTTGATTTCACAATCAGTTACAATTAAGTGTACCTACTTAAGATATGTTAGAGTGTACCCTCAGTTTACATAGCAATAGAAGGGAAAACTTCCATCGAGCAAGGTGCAACAAACTCTGTCATTTATTGTAATAACAGGGGAGAATGTTCTAAGCACCACAAAGAAAAAAACATTTACATAATCAATTATGTAAGTGAACATTTGCTAAGACCAATAAATTCATGGCATATTTTGTCTCCATAAAACTTCACCATTCATTATAATATATTAATATTTATTTACCGAGCATCAATTAGATGTTAGTAATCTATAATTTTTGTACCGCATACACACATTCACACATACATTTATTCTACAGTAGCAGAATAATTTTTTTATTGGTCTAACAATAAAAATAATAACTAAATACATACTCTACTTATATAATCAATATTTTAAGCATAAAAGTAAACAATCAAACGGAAATGCTTAATTTTTAATGGTATCTAGTAAGTGCCTAGAAAAAATAAAAATKTATGTATTTTAAGTTTATTTGGAAACAGAGCAATCTATGTAGTAGTTCTATAACAATCTATAACTTATAATATTATCAGCAATAGACAAAATAATATCAATTCTATAATATACATTGTATTTGAGAACTAAGTATAATAATTTAATAATAAGCGAAAATAATAATAATAATATATTACACTATGTGTAAGCATAAAAAAATGCAGAATTTTATTAATAATTTAAGATTATACATAATTACAATTTTTTTTATTTAATTATTCATTTAATAATATGTACAAAATAACCAAACTATTAAGTGTCAAAACAAAAATTAGAAAGGATAGATCTGCATTATAGCGAGACGTATAACAATTGGTGGTGTAATGAAGAATAAAAAAAGTTAACAATAAATCTAAAAGAATGCTGGTGACTTTTATGAATAACAGTAGAACTAGGAATTAGTAGAAGAGTCTTCTTTCTTACCCAAGAATTCAAATCCTGTTGAACACCTTCACCTAAATTTGCTATGGAGTAAAATCATGTAGTTTACAAGGAATATGCAACATATAACTAGGAACCTCACAAGAACCTTTGGTGGACTCTATAGTAGATTTTAAGCTGTAAACAGATCCCAGACCACTGTACCATACTCTATATACAATTATTAAAACAAACAAAACGCTACACATTTAAATTAGCACAAAGACACTTTAGAGAATATCATTTCAAATAGCTACTAAACTAATTTTATCTTTTAACRATGATAAATTGTTTTAATTATGATWTAATATTAAAAACTAAAAATTAAAATGTTTTACTCAAGAAGAGCAAATGTAGTCAGTTGATGTATGCAATTTTTTTTCTTCTATTTTAGCATTTTATTTTATAGAAATTGAATAATTCTATGAATAAAACAATACTTTAAAATTAAATAATATATTTATTTGATACATATTAATATGCAATTATATTATGTTCTTAAAATTTAATTAATAAATGAAGATAATATTTAGAAATTTTTAATTTAAAATACTTAATAAATTGTTTTTTTTATTAAATTTTACTACAATGTTTAAAACTATTTTATAATAGTTACATTTAAAAATAATAATTAATTGATATAATGAAAAATGTAT